CTAGCTATAATGCACTGTACATTATCCACACAACTGACTACTAGCTATAATGCACTACACATTATCCACACAGCTGACCGCTAGTTATAATGCACTGTACATTATTCACATAGCTGACAACTAGTTATAAGGCACAGTACATTAACCACACAACTGACTACTAGCTACAATGCACTGTACATTATTCACACAACTGACCGCGAGTAATATTGCACTGTACATTATTCACATAGCTGACTACTAGCTATAATGCACTGCACATTATTCACATAGCTGACCGCAAGTATAATGCACTGTACATTATCCACACAGCTGACCACTAGCTATAATGCACTGTACATTATCCACACAGCTGACCACTAGCTATAATGCACTGTACATTATCCACACAGCTGACCACTAGCTATAATGCACTGTACATTATCCACACAGCTGACCACTAGCTATAATGCACTGTACATTATCCACATAGCTGACTACTAGCTATAATGCACTGCACATTATTCACATAGCTGACTGCAAGTATAATGCACTGTACATTATCCACACAGCTGACCACTAGCTATAATGCACTGTACATTATCCACACAGCTGACCACTAGCTATAATGCACTGTACATTATCCACACAGCTGACCACTAGCTATAATACACTGTACACTATCCACACAGCTGACTACTAGATTTAATGCACTGCACATTATTCACATAGCTGACCGCTAGTTATAATGCACTGCACATTATTCACATAGCTGACTACTAGCTATAATGCACTGTACATTATCCACACAACTGACCACGAGCTATAATGCACTGCACATTATTCACACAGCTGACCACTAGCTATAATGCACTGTACATTATCCACACAGCTGACCACTAGCTATAATACACTGTACACTATCCACACAACTGACCACTAGCATTAATGCACTGCACATTATCCACACAACTGACCACTAGCAATAATGCACTGTACATTATTCACATAGCTGACCACTAGCTATAATGCACTGTACATTATCCACACAGCTGACCACTAGCTATAATGCACTGTACATTATCCACACAGCTGACCACTAGCTATAATGCACTGTACACTATCCACACAGCTGACTACTAGATTTAATGCACTGCACATTATTCACATAGCTGACCG